TGTATTTTAATGTCTTCTTGTAGGTTTGATGAAGGGGGGGGGGGGGGGGGGGGGGGGGGGGAGGGGGGGGGGAGGGGTGTCCAGACTCCCAAAATGCGTTATTTTATGATTTTATATTTTATGATTTTATTTGATGAACAAATCTACCTTCCCTCGGTGGTCTTCCTGCCATCGTCCTCTTTGTGGATTCTGGGGACCCCAGTTAGGGTGACCCCATCAGGATCACTGACACCCTCTAGTATTGCCTCTCCAATATCCATTCCAGAGCAAACCCTGACAGCTTCCATCAGACGTGATAACTGCCATCCCATAATACCGTGTGTCTGGGCGTGGCTTCCTGCAGGTTCATCATGGATGGTGGTGTGATGGAGCTACGAGTGACCCCGTCATCATTCCATGCCTGCTGAGCAATGTGTGCCCTTCCCCCAGAGATCACAGGACCCCCCCCCCAACAATGCTTCATCGAACACAGGACCCCCCCCCCGACAATGGTTCATTGATCACAGGACCCCCCCCCAACAATGGTTCATTGATCACAGGACCCCCCCCCCGACAATGGTTCATCGATCACAGGACCCCCCCCGACAATGCTTCATCGATCACAGGACCCCCCCCCGACAATGCTTCATCGATCACAGGACCCCCCCCCCCCCCGACAATGGTTCATCGATCACAGGACCCCCCCGACAATGCTTCATCGATCACAGGACCCCCCCGACAATGCTTCATCGATCACAGGACCCCCCCCCCCCGACAATGCTTCATCGATCACAGGACCCCCCCGACAATGGTTCATCGATCACAGGACCCCCCCGACAATGGTTCATCGATCACAGGACCCCCCCGACAATGCTTCATCGATCACAGGACCCCCGACAATGCTTCATCGATCACAGGACCCCCCCGACAATGCTTCATCAACGATCACAGGACCCCCCCGACAATGCTTCATCGATCACAGGACCCCCCCGACAATGCTTCATCGATCACAGGACCCCCCCGACAATGCTTCATCGATCACAGGACCCCCCCGACAATGCTTCATCGATCACAGGACCCCCCCGACAATGCTTCATCGATCACAGGACCCCCCCGACAATGCTTCATCGATCACAGGACCCCCCCGACAATGCTTCATCGATCACAGGACCCCCCCGACAATGCTTCATCGATCACAGGACCCCCCCGACAATGCTTCATCGATCACAGGACCCCCCCCGACAATGCTTCATCGATCACAGGACCCCCCCGACAATGCTTCATCGATCACAGGACCCCCTTGACAATGCTTCATCGATCACAGGACCCCCCCGACAATGCTTCATCGATCACAGGACCCCCCCGACAATGCTTCATCGATCACAGGACCCCCCCGACAATGGTTCATCGATCACAGGACCCCCCCGACAATGCTTCATCGATCACAGGACCCCCCCGACAATGCTTCATCGATCACAGGACCCCCCCGACAATGCTTCATCGATCACAGGACCCCCCCCCTTGACAATGCTTCATCGATCACAGGACCCCCCCGACAATGCTTCATCGATCACAGGACCCCCCCCCCGACAATGCTTCATCGATCACAGGACCCCCCCGACAATGGTTCATCGATCACAGGACCCCCCCGACAATGCTTCATCGATCACAGGACCCCCCCGACAATGCTTCATCGATCACAGGACCCCCCTTGACAATGGTTCATCGATCACAGGACCCCCCCCGACAATGGTTCATCGATCACAGGACCCCCCCCGACAATGCTTCATCGATCACAGGACCCCCCCCGACAATGGTTCATCGGTCACAGGACCCCCCCGACAATGCTTCATCGATCACAGGACCCCCCCGACAATGGTTCATCGATCACAGGACCCCCCCCCCCCCGACAATGGTTCATCGATCACAGGACCCCCCCCGACAATGGTTCATCGATCACAGGACCCCCCCGACATTGCTTCATCTCTCCAGAAGGACGGCACCAGCTTTGTTCCGGCATCATCCGGGTCACATACACAATCAGATCCGCCACACTTATGCAGCCCACACACGGGTCAAATTACAAACTATTTTGTGTCTGAAAATCAGAAACGTCGTTCGCTCGGTGATTCGATGGGCCATCAATGATTTTAAAAATCGTCCAACCGAGTCCTAAAGTTCCCCCCATATAACAGGCGACACTTCTGCTCCTCCCAGGTCACGGCTCATGCGTGTAATCCTTCCAGAAAACCATCGTATGATTTGACCGTCATTGAGTCGAAAATCGGTTGTTTTTCATGAATTTTTCAACATACCCGATCACCGAAAAGGGGAGCAATCATGAAAATCGTCCGGCTCCATTGACCCACTAACAGCGAAAATCGTCCGGTGCCATTGACCCCACTAACAGAGCGAAGATCTGCCGGTGCCATTGACCCCACTAACAGAGCGAAGATCTGCCGGTGCCATTGACCCCACTAACAGCGAAAATCGTCCGGCTCCATTGACCCCACTAACAGAGCGAAGGTCGTCCGGTGCCGACCCCCACTAACAGCGAAAATCGTGCCATTGACCCCACTAACAGAGCGAAGATCTGCCAGCGCCATTGACCCCACTAACAGAGCGAAAATCGTCCGGTGCCATTGACCCCACTAACAGAGCGAAGATCGTCCGGTGTCATTGACCCCACTAACAGAGCGAAGATCTGCCGGTGTCATTGACCCCACTAACAGAGCGAAAATCGTCCGGTGCCATTGACCCCACTAACAGAGCAAAGATCGTCCGGTGCCATTGACCCCACTAACAGAGCGAAGATCTGCCGGACCCCACTAACAGAGCGATGTCATTGACCCCACTAACAGAGCGAAGATCTGCCGGTGTCATTGACCCCACTAACAGAGCGAAGATCTGCCGGTGTCATTGACCCCACTAACAGAGCGAAGATCTGCCGGTGTCCATTGACCCCACTAACAGCGAAAATCGTCCGGTGCCATTGACCCACCAACAGAGCGAAGATCTGCCGGTGCCATTGACCCCACTAACAGAGCGAAGATCTGCCGGTGCCATTGACCCCACTAACAGAGCGAAAATCGTCCGGTGCCATTGACCCCACTAACAGAGCGAAAATCGTCCGGTGCCATTGACCCCACTAACAGAGCGAAGATCTGCCGATGTCATTGACCCCACTAACAGAGCGAAAATCGTCCGGTGCCATTGACCCCACTAACAGAGCGAAAATCATCCGGTGCCATTGACCCCACTAACAGAGCGAAGATCTGCCGATGTCATTGACCCCACTAACAGCGAAAATCATCCGGTGCCATTGACCCCACTAACAGAGCGAAGATCTGCCAGTGTCATTGACCCCACTAACAGAGCGAAGATCTGCCGGTGCCATTGACCCCACTAACAGAGCGAAGGTCCGAATATTCTTAGGTCCAATTTTCAGATGAAAAAATGGTCAAATTTCGACCCGTGTATGGCCGGCATTAGGGTCCTGTCACACTGGTGTTCCGTTTTTTTTTTTCTTCAGTTCAGTCATGAGTTGACATCTGTTTTTTTCATCCGTTCACATTGGTTTACATCCGCTTACATCCATTTTTGTCCGTTTACATCTGTTTTTTGTCCGTTTACATCCGTTCACATTGGTTTACATCCGTTTACATCCGTTTTTTTCATCCGTTTACATCCGTTTACATCCGTTTACATCCGTTTTTCATCCATTTAGATCCGTTTTTGTCCGTTTACATCCGTTTTTCGTTTACCATTCCATGTTTTTATGTGCGGATGAAAAATATGGTTTTCTTCTGGTAAAAAAACGGATGTTACCGGATGCGGACATTAATGGTGGTCATCCGTTTACATGCGCGAGTCCACAGAAATACAGACGGACAGATGAAAGGCGGACATACGGAACGCCGGGGGGGGAGGGGCCTTAAGGGATTTTTTTTAGGCAAATTAAAAGCAATTTTAGTGAAGACAATATTCTTCATTCTGATGAAATCCTAAAACTTTCTTTTGTTAAATGTCATATCTTACAATCAGGGGCGGAGTGACAACTCATGGGGCCCCTGGGCAATAGGGATCATGGGGCCCCTGTGTCCTTGCCCAAACTCAAAAAAGCCTATAAACAAGGTACCAGGGGCACCTCATGGGGCCCCCTACTGACCCCCGGGCCCTCAGGCAGTGCCGAGTTTCCGAATGGTCAGTCCGCCCCTGAGCACAATGCTGATTACAGGAGACATGTTACACGCAGACACATTGTATGTTATTCATGTTCAGGGACCGGAAAGGATCACCTGACACATTTCAGGGACCGAAGCTCCTTCTTCAGGGATCTCTGCAGACGGTACAATGTAACGTGAACACGTATGTATCATTACACCCTGCGACATATACACCGCATGCTGAGCATGTTCACATGTAGAGTCCCGTGCTACATATGTATCATTACACCCTGCGACATATACACCGCATGCTGAGCATGTTCACATGTAGAGTCCCGTGCTACATATGTATCATTACACCCTGCGACATATACACCGCATGCTGAGCATGTTCACATGTAGAGTCCCGTGCTACATATGTATCATTACACACCCTGCGACATATACACCGCATGCTGAGCATGTTCACATGTAGAGTCCCGTGCTACATATGTATCAATAAAACTCACAACATTTACGACTGAAATATGTTGAAGAAATCCCAACCAAGGTGATTGGAGGAGCCCCGGGGAAGGGCGGAGCTCTCGGCATCGCACACGCTGGGATCCCCGCCATGTATATATATATATATCTGTGACATCATTTACTAAATACATAAATATTATGAAATGTTGGGAAATGATAGAGTGAAGAGTTCTGCATTGTATACAGAAATATATATATATACTATATACTGCCCCGAGTACTGGGGGCTCCACATGATTGGCTGCAGCTTCTAATGCACATTGTGAGACCCTCCCAGTGTGCAGTGACATCAGAGGAAGACATTCCAGTCCAGGGGAGGAGCCTGTACACCTGTGCAAGACTGAAGAGGGGAGGAGCCTGTACACCTGTGCAAGACTGAAGGGGAGGAGCCTGTACACCTGTGCAAGACTGAAGGGGAGGAGCCGTACACCTGTGCAAGACTGAAGGGGAGGAGCCGGTACACCTGTGCAAGACTGAAGGGGAGGAGCCTGTACACCTGTGCAAGACTGAAGGGGAGGAGCCTGTACACCTGTGCAAGACTGAAGGGGAGGAGCCTGTACACCTGTGCAAGACTGAAGGGGAGGAGCCTGTACACCTGTGCAAGACTGAAGGGAGGAGCCGGTACACCTGTGCAAGACTGAAGGGGAGGAGCCTGGTACACCTGTGCAAGACTGAAGGGGAGGAGCCTGTACACCTGTGCAAGACTGAAGGGGAGGAGCCTGTACACCTGTGCAAGACTGAAGGGGAGGAGCCTGTACACCTGTGCAAGACTGAAGGGGAGGAGCCTGTACACCTGTGCAAGACTGAAGGGGAGGAGCCGGTACACCTGTGCAAGACTGAAGGGGAGGAGCCGGTACACCTGTGCAAGACTGAAGGGGAGGAGCCTGTACACCTGTGCAAGACTGAAGGGGAGGAGCCTGTACACCTGTGCAAGACTGAAGGGGAGGAGCCGTACACCTGTGCAAGACTGAAGGGAGGAGCCGTACACCTGTGCAAGACTGAAGGGGAGGAGCCTGGTACACCTGTGCAAGACTGAAGGGAGGAGCCTGTACACCTGTGCAAGACTGAAGGGGGAGGAGCCGGTACACCTGTGCAAGACTGAAGGGGAGGAGCCTGTACACCTGTGCAAGACTGAAGGGGAGCCTGTACACCTGTGCAAGACTGAAGGGGAGGAGCCGGTACACCTGTGCAAGACTGAAGGGAGGAGCCGGTACACCTGTGCAAGACTGAAGGGGAGGAGCCGGTACACCAGTGCAAGACTGAAGAGGAGGAGCCGGTACACCTGTGCAAGACTGAAGGGAGGAGGAGCCGTACACCTGGCAAGACTGAAGGGGAGGAGCCGGTACACCTGTGCAAGACTGAAGGGGAGGAGCCGGTACACCCTGTGCAAGACTGAAGGGGAGGAGCCAATACACCTGTGCAGGACTGAAGGGGAGGAGCCAATACACCTGTGCAGGACTGAAGGGGAGGAGCCGGTACACCTGTGCAAGACTGAAAGGGAGGAGCCAGTACACCTGCGCAAGACTGAAGGGGAGGAGCCTAAAGGGTCTGGTATGGATTGGGGGGGACCCCCACACTGTTTTTGTTAAATGTCAGTGGTGCTGCAGCGGGTTCTATACATTGTACAGATGTGCAACTTTGCAGGGAGTTTAAGGGGACCCCCCCCCCAGACATGATATTTAAAGGAATTGTAAAATGATGGAACTTTCTGAACTGTATTGTCCTGATTCCTGTCCCTCAGGGCCGTCCCCGGGTCCCCATCCCCCTTTCTGGTCAATAACTCACCTAGAAGCCTTCAAAATGGACACTTTCGAATTTACAAGTTGGAGTCTCATAGACTTGCATTGAGTAGTTCGAAGTTCACATTCATTAGGTTCAAACATTCGACCGCGAACCGAACATGGGGGGGAGGGGGGGTGCTTGACCCATCACTAGTAAGGATACAAGTGGACGCAGCTCTGTACATCTAATATATTTATACATAAAAGTAAAATGCAGCGCTATAAATATATCATAAATGGTGATAAGACACAGTCCAGTGAAAGGTGCTCGATGATCCCCGGTGCAAATGGTAGAAATGCGCACTAACCAGAAGCGTATAGGTAATACACATGTGAATAATAAATCCTGAAGGTTCCCCTCTCCTTTCTGGTCTGATCACGGGAATAGCTGGAAAGAATGAAGATCAAGGGCCCTCGTGTGGTGAAGATGTGGTCCAGCAGGTCAGAGAAATCTCTGCCAAGATGTAGTTGCCCCTCTCAGGAGCTGACGCAGGAATCACTCGGGGCTGTAAAGGTTGGAGAAGCTCCTCGCAGGAGACGCAGGAATCACTCGGGGCTGTAAAGGTTGGAGAAGCTCCTCGCAGGAGACGCAGGAATCACTCGGGGCTGTAAAGGTTGGAGAAGCTCCTCGCAGGAGACGCAGGAATCACTCGGGGCTGTAATGGTTGGAGAAGCTCCTCGCAGGAGACGCAGGAATCACTCGGGGCTGTAAAGGTTGGAGAAGCTCCTCGCAGGAGACGCAGGAATCACTCGGGGCTGTAAAGGTTGGAGAAGCTCCTCGCAGGAGACGCAGGAATCACTCGGGGCTGTAAAGGTTGGAGAAGCTCCTCGCAGGAGACGCAGGAATCACTCGGGGCTGTAAAGGTTGGAGAAGCTCCTCGCAGGAGATGCAGGAATCACTCGGGGCTGTAAAGGTTGGAGAAGCTCCTCGCAGGAGACGCAGGAATCACTCGGGGCTGTAAAGGTTGGAGAAGCTCCTCGCAGGAGACGCAGGAATCACTCGGGGCTGTAAAGGTTGGAGAAGCTCCTCGCAGGAGACGCAGGAATCACTCGGGGCTGTAAAGGTTGGAGAAGCTCCTCGCAGGAGACGCAGGAATCACTCGGGGCTGTAAAGGTTGGAGAAGCTCCTCGCAGGAGACGCAGGAATCACTCGGGGCTGTAAAGGTTGGAGAAGCTCCTCGCAGGAGACGCAGGAATCACTCGGGGCTGTAAAGGTTGGAGAAGCTCCTCGCAGGAGACGCAGGAAATACTCGGGGCTGTAAAGGTTGGAGAAGCTCCTCGCAGGAGACCCAGGAATCACTCGGGGCTGTAAAGGTTGGAGAAGCTCCTCGCAGGAGACGCAGGAATCACTCGGGGCTGTAAAGGTTGGAGAAGCTCCTCGCAGGAGACGGAGGAATCACTCGGGGCTGTAAAGGTTGGAGAAGCTCCTCGCAGGAGACGCAGGAATCACTCGGGGCTGTAAAGGTTGGAGAAGCTCCTCGCAGGAGACGCAGGGATCACTCGGGGCTGTAAAGGTTGGAGAAGCTCCTCGCAGGAGACGCAGGATCACTCGGGGCTGTAAAGGTTGGAGAAGCTCCTCGCAGGAGACGCAGGAATCACTCGGGGCTGTAAATGTTGGAGAAGCTCCTCGCAGGAGATGCAGGAATCACTCGGGGCTGTAAAGGTTGGAGAAGCTCCTCGCAGGAGACGCAGGAAATACTCGGGGGGCTGTAAAGGTTGGAGAAGCTCCTCGCAGGAGACGCAGGGAATCACTCGGGGCTGTAAAGGTTGGAGAAGCTCCTCGCAGGAGACGCAGGAATCACTCGGGGCTGTAAATGTTGGAGAAGCTCCTCGCAGGAGATGCAGGAAATACTCGGGGCTGTAAAGGTTGGAGAAGCTCCTCGCAGGAGACGCAGGGAATACTCAAAGGTTGGAGAAGCTCCTCGCAGGAGACGCAGGAATCACTCGGGGCTGTAAAGGTTGGAGAAGCTCCTCGCAGGAGATGCAGGAAATACTCGGGGCTGTAAAGGTTGGAGAAGCTCCTCGCAGGAGACGCAGGAATCACTCGGGGCTGTAAAGGTTGGAGAAGCTCCTCGCAGGAGACGCAGGAATCACTCGGGGCTGTAAAGGTTGGAGAAGCTCCTCGCAGGAGACGCAGGAATCACTCGGGGCTGTAAAGGTTGGAGAAGCTCCTCGCAGGAGACGCAGGAATCACTCGGGGCTGTAAAGGTTGGAGAAGCTCCTCGCAGGAGACGCAGGAATCACTCGGGGCTGTAAAGGTTGGAGAAGCTCCTCGCAGGAGACGCAGGAATCACTCGGGGCTGTAAAGGTTGGAGAAGCTCCTCGCAGGAGACGCAGGAATCACTCGGGGCTGTAAAGGTTGGAGAAGCTCCTCGCAGGAGACGCAGGAAATACTCGGGGCTGTAAAGGTTGGAGAAGCTCCTCGCAGGAGACGCAGGAATCACTCGGGGCTGTAAAGGTTGGAGAAGCTCCTCGCAGGAGACGCAGGGAATCACTCGGGGCTGTAAAGGTTGGAGAAGCTCCTCGCAGGAGACGCAGGAATCACTCGGGGCTGTAAAGGTTGGAGAAGCTCCTCGCAGGAGACGCAGGAATCACTCGGGGCTGTAAAGGTTGGAGAAGCTCCTCGCAGGAGACGCAGGAATCACTCGGGGCTGTAAAGGTTGGAGAAGCTCCTCGCAGGAGACGCAGGAATCACTCGGGGCTGTAAAGGTTGGAGAAGCTCCTCGCAGGAGACGCAGGAATCACTCGGGGCTGTAAAGGTTGGAGAAGCTCCTCGCAGGAGACGCAGGAAATCACTCGGGGCTGTAAAGGTTGGAGAAGCTCCTCGCAGGAGACGCAGGAATCACTCGGGGCTGTAAAGGTTGGAGAAGCTCCTCGCAGGAGACGCAGGAAATCACTCGGGGCTGTAAAGGTTGGAGAAGCTCCTCGCAGGAGACGCAGGAAATCACTCGGGGCTGTAAAGGTTGGAGAAGCTCCTCGCAGGAGACGCAGGAATCACTCGGGGCTGTAATGGTTGGAGAAGCTCCTCGCAGGAGACGCAGGAATCACTCGGGGCTGTAAAGGTTGGAGAAGCTCCTCGCAGGAGACGCAGGAATCACTCGGGGCTGTAAAGGTTGGAGAAGCTCCTCGCAGGAGACGCAGGAATCACTCGGGGCTGTAAAGGTTGGAGAAGCTCCTCGCAGGAGACGCAGGAATCACTCGGGGCTGTAAAGGTTTGGAGAAGCTCCTCGCAGGAGACGCAGGAATCACTCGGGGCTGTAAAGGTTGGAGAAGCTCCTCGCAGGAGACGCAGGAATCACTCGGGGCTGTAATGGTTGGAGAAGCTCCTCGCAGGAGACGCAGGAATCACTCGGGGCTGTAAAGGTTGGAGAAGCTCCTCGCAGGAGACGCAGGAATCACTCGTGGGCTGTAAAGGTTGGAGAAGCTCCTCGCAGGAGACGCAGGAATCACTCGGGGCTGTAAAGGTTGGAGAAGCTCCTCGCAGGAGACGCAGGAATCACTCGGGGCTGTAAAGTATGGAGATGAGCTCCTCCTAGAGGATACGCAGGAATCACTCGGGGCTGTAAAGGTTGGAGAAGCCTCCTCGCAGGAGACGCAGGAATCACTCGGGCTGTAATGGTTGGAGAAGCTCCTCGCAGGAGACGCAGGAATCACTCGGGGCTGTAAAGGTGGAGAACTCCTCGCAGGAGACGCAGGAATCCTGGTTGGAGAAGCTCCTCGCAGGAGACGCAGAATCTACTCGGGCTGTAAAGGTTGTAAAGGTGGAGAAGCTCGGGGCTCGCAGGTTGGAGAGAAGCATCGCAGGAATCACGCAGAGAATCACTCGGGGCTGTAAAGGTTGGAGAAGCTCCTCGCAGGAGTAGACGCACTCGGGGCTGTAAAGGTTGGATGAAAGCTCCTCGCAGGGGGACGAGGAATCACTCGGGGCTGTAATGGTTGGAGAAGCTCCTCGCAGGAGACGCAGGAATCACTCGGGGCACTGTAAAGGTTGGAGAAGCTCCTCGCAGGAGACGCAGGAATCACTCGGGCTGTAAAGGTTGGAGAAGCTCCTGGAGACGCAGGAATCACTCGGGGCTGTAATGGTTGGAGA